AGCTTCCCATTTGCTGCAGGGTGCTGCATGTTATGCCTTTGAACTCAATAAGCAAAGGGAAGGGGGCCTTTTGTTTTTTTCTTCTTCTCCCCCCTCCCTCCTTTTCTTCTTTTTGCAGTTTAGCAATTTTGTTTTGCATCTTTTCCAGACGGCGTTTTGCAATAAAAATGTCTGACTGCCACGGAGAGGCACAAAAGTCAGGGCTCCATCCAATTTCCCGGGCTGCTCTTGGTTTGGGGGGAAGAGGATTTGGTTGTTGCTGAGGGTGAACAATAGGTTTTGTGCCTCCAGTAGGTCAGCTTACAAAATTGGAATTGTCTTTCAAAAAATACACTGCACACAGCCTTTAAAATGTCATCCAGAGGTGCAACCATAAACTTCCTTTTCCATAATAATTTTTATTACGTCTCAGATCAGGAAACACTATTTTAACCTCAGTAAGTGGAGCCTTAGGAGTGTTATGTCTGATTGAACAGTGGGGGAAAGCAAAATGAAGGTGTTTTTTACAGAATCACAGAACAGTTTGGGTTGGGAAGGACCTTGAAGCTTATCTTGTTCCACCTCCCTGCCATGTCTTCCGCTATCCCAGGTTGTTCACAGCCCCATCCAACCTGGCCTTTGGACACTACCAGGGACAGGTTAGAAACTCATCATCTCTCAGTGGAAACCAGGCACAGAACTGGGGAGGATTCTTAGCCTGGACCTGTTCCTAGTGATGGAAAAACAGGCTTTTGAGAGATTGGAATAGCTGAAAAGGACAAAAAAGTGTGATATTCATACCTGTGTACCATTATAGCCTTGGAAAGTCACTGCTCTTGGAGAGTCTCTCATTTCATATGTGGTGCACTGGAAGAGGGTGACAGTGGGACAGATGGAAGAAACACGGGGAGCCCTCTAGGAAGGAGCAGATATTATTTTAGATTTTAGTGTCGTTACACGTGGCTTGTCCCAAGGTGAGTGGTTTCAATGTGAGCTTGGAAACCCCTTTGCCCAATGTGAAACTATAACCCCTGTGAAGGCTTTCTCCCTCTCCACCACCCTTGAGTTATTTGAAAACCCTCAAACTCCGTAATGTTTTTTATAACCATGCTTTAATGATCTAAGACATGTCTTTAACTTAAGGATGGCTCTAGAGCACAAGGACAAGGGGGAATGGCTTTAAGCTGAAGGAGGGTAGATTCAGATTGGATATTGGGAAGGAATTCCTCGCTGTGAGGGTGGGGAGGCCCTTGCCCAGAGAAGCTGTGGCTGCTTCATCCCTGGAAGTGCTCAGGGCCAGCTTGGATATAGGCATCAAGCTGGAGCCACACATGGCCTGGGTTCAGCTTGTGGCCCTTGGTGGAGTCTCTTTGAAATCATTGTGACGTGTAGCTGTAAATTCAACAACTGCTGTCATTCAGAATCCAAAGAGCCCCCCGAAATGGGGGTGTCACTTTTGGGTAGGCCTGTTTAGAAAACATGATCATACCCGTTTGCTCAATTTGCATGTCTGAAAGGCTCCTGCTCAGTTAATTGGTTAAATTAATTTCTGCTGTTGTAAACAGAGAGCTGCTGTATTAAGAGCAGAACTAAAGTAATTTTACTTTACATTATTCTGTGTCGTGGCGCATCGTTCCTTTCTTACTCAAGGCAATTCATTTTGTGGGGCTGTCAAGTGATATTTGGCGTCATCTTCAGTCAATGGAGCTTTTTTGATTTTCCCCTGATATTTTAACAGTTTATTTAGTCCTGTAGATAATGGTCAATGGCCTTGAGTAGTCAAATTAACACCTCGGTGGCGCCGTAGCGGAGCGGTAACCCGGGGAGGAAAAGGGATGAGAATCGACGCGGGGAGCGCGTTTTGGGGGATTATGGATTGATGGATGCCGAGGCAGCATCGCCCCGCTCTGACTAAGATGGAGCTGCCAGTTAGTGCTGACTGCAGGCCATGGCCTGCCTGGTGTCTCAGCAGCTCCAGCGGAGCCAGGATGGAGACCTTGGGTAGCCCTTGGATCCCGGGACCAGCGGAACATTCCCCCAGCCGCCAGAACCACAGACCCATTGGATTCAATCCTGTAATTCCTGGATTCAGTCCTGTAGGGATCTCTTTGGGACATGGCTGGTGTCCCCCCTGCCCTGGGAGGAGGGGGAGCCGTGTTAAGCTGTGCTGCTGCGAGCCCCGGGTCCCCCTGCCACAACTCTCAATTGCTAGCAGGTTTCTCTCACTGCACCTCATTTGCATCTGGGACATCAATTAGCATGTTTGTTGAGGCTAATTGAATGAAACTCAATCATAGCTCTTAATTGCTTGACTATGTGAAAAGAAATCACATTAATGCAGCTAATTAAGTGTATGGCAATAGATGCAACATAATTAGGAGCGAAATGTAAAAAACAAGCGACGCGGAGGTGCGAGCGCAGGGTGTGGGGGATCGGGGCACCCGCATCTCCTCCGTGCCACATGTTTGGGGAGGGGTCCCTCTGCTTTGCTGCTGGCTTTAATTTTTATTTTTCGTATTATTTTTTTCCCCCTGCCTTGCCGAATGATGAATGTGGACAAGTTGAGAAGAAAAATGCAAATGGATTCGCAATTACTAGTTTTTCAAGCTGTTGAGGGGCAGAAGATGCCACGTCTGGGGTGGCCCACTGTTGAGTGGGCTCTAGGGACTTGTTAAGTGCTGTTTAAAAGTACTTGGCTTTGAATTACCCTCATGCCTTGTTAAAGGGTTTTTTTCCCCCTTTTTTCTCGGATCAGCATTTTCTACAACTAACATCTTGGGGAGTTATCCCTGTACCATTTGCATATCAAAATCCAGTTTGCTGTCTTCTCTTTAACACAGTATATTCCAGATGACAGCAAGACCCTCATCTGTTCTAATCTGATCAAACCCTCCATTGCGCTTCTGAAGCCCCGGCGTCATTTTGTAGTTTGAACTTTCATTCCCCGAGCGAGCAGGGATCTGACGGGGCTGGGAACGCTGTCCTTGCCCTCCCCTCCTCGGGGAGACCCGCAGATTATTGCTGTGCACCCTGCCCACGATGAAAGGGCCTTTATTATTTACATTTGATATATCCCCATAAATATTTAAGCTGACATTAATACCTACCCGGCATCTGTTGTCGTTCGGACGCTTCGCTCTGACGGCGGCCGCAGCGCGCGTCGGTTTTGTGTTTGCCAACGCTCCCTCAAGTGGTTTTGTGGCTCACCTCAGCCTGGTTTGCACCCAGCTAAAAGACCTTTAACAACACCCTGCCACACCTCAAGTTGGGAAATCACACCCAGCCTTCATCTGAGCTGGATCCAAAACCCCCTTCTCCAGTTGAAGTTGGTTGTACATTAAATAAAACTATTGGAAAAGAGCACGTGCTGAGGTTTAGTCACTCTCTGATTAAACCTCACTTTACAGCCCACAAGCAATAGATGCTCAATTATCTTCTGTTTATTGTATTTTAATTTGTGAAGAAGTGACACCCGAACAAGAAAGTTCTGCCAAGTTCATGATTTATGGATGAAAGGTGTTTGTTCTCCAACACCTAGTAAAGGAATTTTCCTGAGTGGATTGCCTTTGTTTTTCTCTTGGCGGCAGAGCTCTGTGTCCTCTCCCCACTAATTGTTCAGACCCCACCTTTTCCTGTTAATAATTCTCAGCTTGGGAAAAGTAAGCTACCGTGATGGCTTAGTTTAAGGGTTTTATCACTGATTTCTGTTAACTAGGAAGAAATTATTGCTGGTCCAGATTTTTGATGGGTTTTGAGCAGAATAAATAATTTGTGTTATAGAAACTGCCAAAGGCGAAAGAATCTTGATGAGGGAGCAATCAGCTGCCTGGATTGTGGCAGCAGGATACAGATTTTGGGTAAATTCAGGAAATCTCTTGTGAAGTAGAAGCCTAGATCTTCTCCCATCCACCTCAAATCGCTGTTTTTCCCTTAATCCCAGAGTTCTGGAGTGGTTTGGGTTGGAAGGGACCTCAAAGCTCTTCTCATTCCATCCCTTGCCATGGGCAGGGACACCTTCCACTATCCCAGGTTACTCCAAGCCCCAACATCCAACCTGGCCTTGGAGACTCCCAGGCATCCAGGGGCGGCCACAGCTTCTCTGGGCAGCCCAGATATCTCTTTGTGCAGTGCTCTTGCCCCTTTTCACCCCTGACTTTACTCTCCTGTGCTGCCCCTCTTGCATGTCCTTTTCAAGAGAGTGTCTCTTTTGTTGCTTTTCATGCTCTCATAATTTTTCCAGTTTCATTTATTTTTTTCTGGAATGTGAGTGCCCGCAGCCCTGTGTACCAGGAGATGAGAACTCTGGTGTCTTGTGTGCTGGCTTTAACATTCACCATCTCTCCTGGACATAGCTGTGCTGGTGTATCCCAGGATCAATTTGCCCTCTGATAAAAATACCCATGTCCATTTGCTTTAGTTTGTTTCCCCTTTGTGGGCTTTCCAAGCAAGAATTGGCAAAAGCCTTTTCCACTTCTGCCTCCCAGTATTTGCTCTAATCAGATGTAATTTGCATTATTTTTTTCCCCTTTGATGATGTTTTGTGTAGGTGCAGGAAGGGTCGTATTCTAAGGGAACAATGTTGAAATTACTGAAACCTTCCCTGCTGGTGCCCTTTTGTAACTTTGGTGCCTGCTGGCCCATTCCAGCCAAATTTGAGGGAGAAAGAGATGAGAGCATAAAACACTGGCAGAGAGGAGACACAAGTGAATGTGCTCAGGAGGGGCACTCAGCCTGGTCTTCTCCTCATGTTTGGGACCTTTGGCTGGTGAATTCCCACACGTGGCTGTGTTGTGAATCAACTCTTATCCAGCTGGAAGTTGGAGGACCTGTGAGAAAGCTCCAGACTTTTGGGGTTAATGGTGAGAAGTGTGGAAGGGATTATCAGGAACATGGAAGGAAGGGGAAAACCATATGGTGGGTGCTGGCAGAGGATGTAGGGCCAAAGCCTTTGTTAATTCTATTCATTCTTACAGAACTCCCTGTCTGATGTTGTGTTTTGGGGTTTTTCCCTCTCTCTGCAGGATTACATGCAGAATGTTCATGGCAAAGAGATCGACTTGCTGAGAACCACTGTGAAGGTCCCTGGGAAGAGGCCACCCCGAGCCACATCAGCCTGTGCCCCCATCTCCAGCCCCAAAACCAACGGCCTCTCCAAAGACATGAGCAGTTTACACATCTCGCCAAATTCAGGTAAGGGAGCACCTTGCTAGGGGAAAAAAATGGGAGAAAATCTGCATTTCCAGTGTTGGTAGGGCAGTACCATGAACAGCTGGGGTAGGGATGGATATCTCTCCATAACTGGAGGGGTTCCTGGCCAGGCTGGTGGTGCTCAGAGCAACCTGGTATTGTGGAAGGTCTCCCTGCCTGTGGTAGGGGGTGGAATTAGTTGAACTTTAGGATTCTTTCCAATCCAAACCATTCTGGGATTTACAAACACACTGATGTGGAAGTTTTTAAGCCCTAACTGCTGATCTGTCCCCCACGAGAGATTCTGAGTTTCTGGGTAGCCTTCGGTGTCTGTCTTTGTGTATTTGTTACCCTGTACTTGCCAAAGCCCTTTGTAATTTCACAGGCATTAACATATGGGAGGAATCTACCATCTCTTACCTAATTCTTAGGAAAAGCAAATGCTGTATGATCTGAAAAGGCTTTTTATGGCTTCCTGGTGAGATCCACAGCCCTTCTTTACACTTTTGGAAAGTCAGTATTATGCATTCTTCTAACAGCACGATTCTTCTGTGGAAAGCATTTTAATTTATTGGTGGAAGTGGTTTATAGCTCCTTCTGAGCTCTAAACAAAGATGTTTATTGTTTGCTGAAGCACTTGTCCATACAGCTAAGTGGATTTTAAAAAATGGCATTAAGGGAAAACATTTGAGACAATTTATCTTGTAAAATGCACAGCTTGTACAAAACTCATAATGGTCTAGTGGAAGTTCTGTCAGCATGTTTGGGATGACATCCATAAAGTGCCAAGTGCCTTTTGCATTTATGGGTAATGTAGACACCTTCTGCATGTGCCAGCAAAACCATCCCCACACTCCTGTCCCTGTGCAAAACCCACTGGGATGAGCAACCCTGGGATTCCTGGATATTCAGGTGTCTTCTCTTGGATAATAATAATAATAATTATCTGTCTCATGCTTCCTAGAATCAGGCTGGTTTGGGTTGGAAGGGACTTTAAATAACATCTAATTCCAACTCCCCGTCCTTCAAGCCAAGGTGTAAATCCCTGCATTTTTGAGACATTCCCCTTTATTAGAAGAAAACTGAGAAGTTTTTTTTCCTTCCAACTCTGAATGGTACTGTTGGAGATGGGTTTTTAAAGTGGTGCCACTGAGCAGACACTCCTGGAGATTCCAGGCTGAGACCTGAGGTGTCTGAAGCCATGATTTCATCAAACCCTTTCTCAAGTTTTGACCTGGCACTGGCAGAGATCATAGGAGAAAATTATTCATGGTTGGGTTGTTTTTTTCCAGTTTACTATATAATTTAGATGTTTAGGTGTGGGAACTGCTTTGGTTTTCAATATACTTCCTAATTTAGGGAATAAAAGTGCTGGACTGAGTCAATAAACTGAAGGGGAGATGTTTAAATAAAGAGATTTCAGCTTTTAACACATTTGAACACAGTCAAAAATTACTTGATAGCTTCAGAAAAGTAAGTTTCTGGAAACATATTTAGATATGTAAGAATTTAAGGTTTGTAGCATGGAATTTACATGTTTTGGCATCTGCTTGGTTTGCCAGGTCAGAGGGAAACTTTCCCTGAGAGTTTGCAGCAGGCATCTCTCACTGTGTGTGTGTGTGTCCTGGCCAGCCTGAGGCTTGATCACACAAGTCAGTTTTGCCAGAAATTCCAAATCCTAGGAAATTTAGATAGTGGATTTCAAATAACACTGTGGGAATAGTTGGAGCTTCTCTCTTCCCCCTTGGCTTCTTCATCCTCTTGCTTAGAAAAATTGAAAGACTTTCCTGTTGTTGATGTCTGGTCATCATCTGCTGCTTGTTATTGGCTTAAAAGCAAACATAAAAAGGAGCTACTAATCAGTTAAGAATTACTAAAAGGAAAGAAAATAAAGAAAAGAAGGCCACTGTCCCAAACTGTGTCTGCCTTCTTCGTCTGAGCTCTGATGTGGTCAGGGACAGTGGGAGATGGGTGGGAGACCTGTAGGTACTTGGGGCTGAGTTCTGGAGTGGCAGGAGGACCCCTGGAATATCTGCAGTTATCTGCCACACAGCTCAAAACACATGGAAATCATCCCTTGCAGGCTGTGCTGCTGCCTCAGAGCTTCCCCTCACTTGGTACTGCTGGGAAAAGTGGTGTCTTGAGCCCGTGTGGTGCCTTAAAATAGATCACAGGGCTGAATTGTCACTTACTGGTTGTCACTGGGAGGTTTTTGTACACAGCTCTGCCACGTGGAGGAGGTTTGGACCAAACAGGAAGAATCAGCACTTTCTATTTTGATTTTTAGGCCTGTAAATTCACTATATTTTCTCTGCTTCACGTTGCCTCATCCCCAAAAGTTAAATGCTGCTTGGCTTGGTTGGTGCTTTCATTTGACACTTAAGCACTGCTTGGAAGATGCCTCTTAAGGATGGATTTCCATGCCAACTTTGACAAGAAATCTATGGATTAAATGCCTACTTGATTTGCTGTAACTGATATTTTAAGTTCATATTTCAGCAAATAGTCTTCTCTGAGTGTAATGTCTTGTGATTCAACCACTCTTGTGATCCCACCATGGTCTGTGAGGCAGCAGAGCAGCTCGAGCTCCTCCTTCTCCTCATCCCCTTCCCTCTCTGAAGCCTTTTTGGACCTCAGTGATGGATCAGACACCTTGAATTTCCTCCCACGTGGGAGGGTCTTTCCCAAAAAAAGGTGCTTCCCATAACAGTGCTGTGAGCAGAATAGAGAGAATGAGGCTGATCAGGGCAATATTGGGAATTTGGGAAGGACAAACTCAGTTCTTTGGCACAAACTCAGTTCCAGTCCTTGAGTTTCTGTTTCAGAGATGTAAAAAAAAGAAAAAAAAAACCACCTTTATGAAAATATATGAGTTAAAAAAACTCTGGATTACTCTTCCTTGCTGGGTTTCCACTGGCACAAGCGCTGGGAAAAAACACTTTTCCCTTAACATCAAGTCAGAGTCCATTGTCACGGTCATGGTGGGACAGTGAACAAACTGGAAATGAAACAGCAGCAGGAAAAAGGAATATTTTCTGTGCTCTGTCAGAAAGCAGGGAAAGGAGTAGAGGGTTGGGCTGCTCCTGCTGTTACAAAGCCAGGCACCTTGCCTGGAAAAAGGTTGACTTTGATTTGAAAACTGGTCTCTTCTTGGGTTCTTGGAGGTGCTGTTTGGGGTTTATTGTGTAAGGGATTCTGTGTGGCAGCTTCTCCCAAAAAATACAGAGAGATGCAGGGTTGTTATTTATGTTGTGTAGACTTTAAATACAGGTTGTTAACTGTGGCTTCAGGGAAGGTGCTCACACTTGTGAGCTAACTTGGTAGGAATCTGTGAGCTGGGGAAATGGATGTTTATTCCCTTCAATCTAAAATTATGTCACTTCTGTGGTATTTTCAGTCCAAGCTGACAAACAGTGGTGAATTAACTGAAATTTAAATTAAATTTACATGGCACTGAGCATCATTCTGTTGATGCAGCTCAGTTGGAAGTCCTTCAGAAAAGGGTAATTCTAGGACTTGCTCAGTTCCAGCTTTCTCTAAGAGCTGGGAGCAGCCCAGAGTCCTGTCCATCCCACTGGCCAAGTCCCTCTGCCCTTTAGGAGCTGGCTCAGCCTGGCTTTGGAGCCAGGAGTGGGTCCAGGTTTCATTCACTCCTGAATTGGGTTGGATTTGAGCTGCTTGACCTGAAGGTGAACTTATTCCTGAAATCTCTCCCAGGAGTCATTTATTTCTTCTCCTCTCCAAACAACCCAAAGCCAGAGCTGTCGCAAGAGCCACTGAAGTAGAAAGTTCACGACTAAAAATAGCTTATGGTGTAGAGATAAATTGTTTCCTGATTAACACTTCATTTAAATAATTTGGTGCTATTAAATTCCCTTAAAATGGTGACTGTACAGTATGTGAAGTATCCCAAAATGTGTTAGTTCCAGGGCCATCGTTAAGTGTGCTGAAGGTTGTTATCTGCTAACTGCTTGTGACATTTCAGATGCTGCAGGAATGGCAGCTCCACGTTCTTATCACTGTGAGGTTCCTGTCTGCCATTAATTGTGATCATCTATCAAATCCTTGGTGGTTCTTGTAGATCTTGTAATGACCTTTTTCAATTGGGGGGGTCACTGTGAGGATTCAGATGTTATGATCTGGTGATGAGTAACAATGTTTATCAAGCCAAGAGCTCAGAAGCGTGGGCAGTTTTCCCAAAGCCTGTGGATCTTGGGTGCCTTTGCAAATAAATGCTGGACTGAGCCCTAAATTCTGGAATCTGCTCTGAATTCCCTGCTTGGAGGTGGCTGAGGTTGGCCTGGTGTGGTTGCTGGCAGTTGTCTGTCACTAGCTCTGCAGTCGGGCGAGGGACGTGAGGTGACTTGGCACGGAATGCTTTCCGCGCTTCAGCTCCAGCGCGAGCTTTATGCGCTTGCCACAGATCACAAATGCAAGTTTGGGACTTACTTTTGTCATCAATCACCCCAGTCAATTTTCCATCTGGGTGGCTTTGCTGTTGGTTCGGTGATATACAGCTGCAGCAGCAGGAAGGAGAAGTTTGCAGTTTGCTCGTTTCAAATGAGAAAAGCCCAATTTCGAGTGCATCCGAGATTTCCCTTTCATCCCACTAGAGGGGGATCCCTCAAGGTCATTTTCCCTGCTTCCTCTGGACTAGGATTTGCCCTTTCCAGAACTAGAGAAATACAAACTTTCACTGTTAGTACTCTCTATCCCTTAATAATGGGAGAAAAGGAGCAGGGCACATATTAGCAATAATGAAATAAATATTGGATAAAATAACTGCGTTAGTTAAATATTGAGAAAGATGAGTTTGCTGAGATTTTTCTCTTCAGGGGAAAAAAAGGAAAAATGAGCTGTCTGAGGATCCTTTCTCGAGGTGGGCAAACCCCTGATGCTGACGAGGCGGATAAAGGGTAGGGATGTGTCGTGGAGCTTCAGGCACGTGACTGGAGCCTGCAGTCGGTGCCTGTTTCCCTCTGGATGAATTTCACGGCTCCGTG